AAAAAAAAAAAAAAAAAAAAAAAAAAAAAAAAAAAAAAAAAGGTTTTTAGTTTGCTCTCCTTCCTTCCAACTAGCAACCATTCAGTAAATACCAGGACAGTTCCCGAGCCTTGGAGGCACGTGATTTTATTTACTCTTCTCAGCATCTCAGAGAAGTGGTTTCACACAGGTTTTGTGACTGTGAGCATTTGGGATGGGGTGAGGCTTTGTTGCTGTGCTCAGCTGAAGACCTCCTCGTGCCAAGTAGAGAAGACATTGTGTTTGCTCCTTCTTTCTTGCTTCCACTTATAAATCATCCCAAATGGGTGAGCCTAGAAAAAATGTGCAACCATTTTCTTAGATGTTCCTAAAGAGCTGATAGTTTCCTGAACTATTTAATATCCTGTCTAATAAGGAAGTTCTTTATGACTGAGCGTCTGTTTATTTGGCTGACCTGTGTGTTAGAAAACAAAAAATCTTGTCCCTCAGTGCGTGTGGGTGCATATGCATTCCCTGCCCAGACACTGTGTTAGCCACAGTGGCTATAGATGTGGAATGAAGAATGCGGGCGTCCTTCTTTATTTCCCCCAGAGGTTGGAGGGTCCTTTATATCTTGTCAAATAACCCACACATTTTTTTTTTTTATTTGCCAGGTCTATAGCTTAGGGTGCCAAAAAGAAGGACAAGCACTTAAGTTCCTAGTCCTAGCTCATGCTCAACCGCTTATGGCTTTTTTTTGTCCTTTTCCTGATCCATGGCTGTGCTGGCACTCCTCACACCCCTCCTGTCATAGCAGGAGTGGCTCTTGAGCTGTGAGAGAGGTCGTTTTAATAGGGTTCCAATTCTAGTTGAGTGAAGTTTTTCTTTCTTCCTTACTGCATTAAGACATGTGGTAATTGCTCAGAAATGTTCTCCCTGGAGTGACTTTACTGCTTACTCTGGTGTCTTATTGCTAACTGATGTTTCTGACTGCTTACTGTTGTGTCTTACTGCTCACTGATAGATCTTCTGGTTGGCTATAAACTGCATCTAAATTGGGTACCATAGCAGTTGAAGAAGAATTCTCTAAATTTATTTTCTTTTTAGGGATGTGTGTGTGTGTATGTGTGTGTGTGTGTGTGTGTGTGTGTGTGTGTGTGTCCCCTTTTTCTTTCTCTCTTTAGCTGTGTTCTATGTGGCTTTTATTCAAAATGGCTTGTCTTACCAAATTTATTATTGCTCTTGAGCTTTTTTATTATGTGAAAATGAATGTTCTCCTGGATAAATTTGGTGGAAAAGAACTTTATGAAAATTAAGAATCAGATTGAACTGCATGTTTTCTTTAAACATCTTTCTTAGTGTATAATTACTTTACAACGTTGTGTTAGTTTCTGCTGTATAACCAAGTGAATCAGCTATATGTATACATCTATCCCCATATCTCCTCCCTCTAGCGTCTCCCTTGCTCACACCCACCCTATCCCACCCCCCTAGGTGGTCACAAAGCACCGAGCTGATCTCCCTGTGCTATGTGGCTGCTTCCCACTAGCTATCTATTTTACATTTAGTAGTGTATATATGTCCATGCTACTCTCTCAATTCGTCCCAGCTTACCCTTCCCCCTCCCCGTGTGCTCAGGTCCATTCTCTGTGTCTGCATCTTTATTCCTGTACTGCCCCTAGGTTCTTCAGAACTATTTATTTATTTATTAGATTCTCTATATATGTTAGCATACGGTATTTGTTTTTCTCTTTCTGACTTACTTCACTCTGTATGACAGACTCTAGGTCCATTCATCTCACTACAAATAACTCAATTTCATTTCTTTTTACGGCTGAGTAATATTCCGTTGTATATATGTGCCACATCTTCTTTATCCATTCATCTGTCGATGGACACTTAGGTTGCTTCCATGTCCTGGCTATTGTAAATGGAGCTGCAATGAACATTGTGGTACATTTCTTTTTTTGAATTACGGTTTTCTGAGGGTATATGCCCAGTAGTGGGATTGCTGGGTCATATAGTAGTTCTATTTTTAGTTTCGTAAGGAACCTCCATACTGTTCTCCATAGTGGCTGTATCAATTTACATTCCCACCAACAGTGCAAGAGGGTTCTCTTTTCTCCACACCCTCTCCAGCATTTACTGTTTGTAGATTTTTTTTTTTTTTTTGCGGTATGCGGGCCTCTCACTGTTGTGGCCTCTCCCATTGTGGAGCACAGGCTCCAGCCACTCAGGCTCAGCGGCCATGGCTCACGGGCCCAGCCGCTCTGCGGCATGTGGGATCTTCCCGGACCGTGGCACAAACCCGTGTC